GAAAGCGGGAGAATGGGGCGGGGTGATGGAAAGAGGGAGAATGGGACGGGGTGATGGAAAGCGGGAGAATGGGGCGGGTGATGGAAAGCGGGAGAATTGGGCGGGGTGATGGAAAGCGGGAGAATGGAGCGGGGTGAGGGAAAGTAGGAGAACGGGCGGGGCGATGGAAAGCAGGAGAATGGGGTGGGGTGACGGAAAGCGGGAGAATGGGGCGGGGTGATGGAAAGCTGGAGAATGGGGCGGGGTGATGGAAAGCGGGAGAATGGGGGCGGTTGATGGAAAGAGGGAGAATGGGGCGGGGTGATGGAAATCGGGAGAATGGGGCGGGGTGATGGAAAGTGGGAGAATGGGGCGGGGTGATGGAAAGAGGGAGAATTGGGCGGGGTGATGGAAAGCGGGAGAATGGAGGGGATGAGGGAAAGTGGGAGAAAGGGGCGGGACGATGGAAAGCTGGAAATTAGGGTGGGGTGGTAGAAAGCGGGAGAATGGGGCGGGTTGATGGAAAGCGGGAGAATGGGGCGGGGTGATGGAAAGCGGGAGAATGGGGCGGGGTGATGGAAAGAGAGACAATGGGGCGGGGGTGATGGAAAGCAGGAGAATGGGGCGGGGTGATGGAAAGCGGGAGAAGGGGCGAGGTGATGGAAAGCGGGAGAATGGGGCGAGGTGATGGAAAGCGGGAGAATGGGGTGGGGTGATGGAAAGAGGGAGAATGGGGCGGGGTGATGGAAGTTGGGGCGTGTGATGGAAAGCGGGAGAATGGGGCGGGGTGATGGAAAGCGGGAGAATGGGGCGGGGTGATGGAAAGCGGGAGAATGAGGCGGGGTGATGGAAAGAGGGAGTGTGGGGGCGGGGTGATGGAAAGCGGGAGAATGAGGCGGGGTGATGGAAAGCGGGAGAATGGGGCGTGGTGATGGAAAGCGGGAGAATGGGGCGGGGTGATGAAAAGCGGGAGAATGGGGCGGGGTGATGGAAGGAGGGAGAACGGCGGGGGGGTGATGGAAAGTTGGAGAATGGGGCGGGGTGATGGAAAGAGGAGAAACGGGGCGGGGTGATGGAAAGCGGAAGAATGGGGCGGGGTGATGGAAAGCGGGAGAATGGGGAGGGGTGATGGAAAGCGGGAGAATGGGGAGGGGTGATGGAACGCAGGAGATGGGGCGGGGTGATGGAAAGTTCAAGAATGGGGCGAGGTGATGGAGAGTTGAAGAATGGGGCGGGGTAATAAAAAGAGGGCGAATGGGGGGGGTGATGGAAAGAGGGAGAATGGGGCGGGGTGATGGAAAGCGGGAGAACGGGGCGGGGTGATGGAAAGAGGGAGAACGGGGCGGGGTGATGGAAAGTTGGAGAATGGGGCGGGGTGATGGAAAGAGGGAGAACGGGGCGGGGTGATGGAAAGCGGAAGAATGGGGCGGGGTGATGGAAAGCGGGAGAATGGGGAGGGGTGATGGAAAGCGGGAGAATGGGGAGGGGTGATGGAAAGCAGGAGAATGGGGCGGGGTGATGGAAATCGGGAGAATAGGGTGGGGTGATGGAAAGTTGAAGAATGGGGCGGGGTGATGGAAAGTTGAAGAATGGGGCGGGGTGATAAAAAGAGGGCGAATGGGGCGGGGTGATGGAAAGAGGGAGAATGGGGCAGGGTGATGGAAAGAGGGAGAATGGGGGGGGGGGTGATGGAAAGTGGGAGAACAGGGCGGGTGATGGAAAGCGGGAGAATGGGGCGGGGTGATGGAAAGCGGGAGAACGGGGCAGAGTGATGGAAATCGGGAGAATGAGGCGGGGTGATGGAAAGCGAGAGAATGGGGCGGGGTGATGGAAAGCAGGAGAATGGGGCGGGGTGATGGAAAGAGGGAGAATAGGGCGGGGTGCTGGAAAGCGGGAGAATGGGCGGGGTGATGGAAAGCAGGAAAATGGGGCGGGGTGATGGAAAGCGGGAGAATGGGGCGAGATGATAGAAAGTTGAAGAATGGGGCGGGGTGATGGAAAGAGGGAGAATGGGGCGGGGTGATAGAAAGTTGAAGAATGGGGTGGGGTGATGGAAAGAGGGAGAATGGGGCGGGTTGATGAAAGTTGAAGAATGGGGTGGGGTGATGGAAAGCGGGAGAATGAGGCGGGGTGATGGAAAGCGGGAGAATGGGGCGGGGTGATGGAAAGCGGGAGAACAGCGCAGAGTGATGGAAAGAGGAAGAATGGGGCGGGGTGATGGAAAGCGGGAGAACAAGGCGGGGTGATGGAAAGAGGGAGAATGGGGCGGGATGATGGAAAGCGGGAGAATGGGGCGGGGTGATGGAAAGCGAGAGAATGGGGCGGGGTGATGGAAAGCGAGAGAATGAGGCGGGTGATGGAAAGCAGGAGTATGGGGCGGGGTGATGGAAAGCGGGAGAATAGGGCGGGGTGATGGAAAGCGGGAGAATGGGGCGGGGTGATGGAAAGCGGGAGAATGGGGCGGGGTGATGGAAAACGGGAGAATGGGGCGGGGTGATGGAAAGCGAGAGAATGGGGCGGGGTGATGGAAAGCAGGAGAATGGGGCGGGATGTTGGAATCCGGGAGAAAAGGGCGGGGTGATGGAAAGCGTGAGAATGGAGCGGGGTGATGGAAAGCGGGAGAATGGGGCGGGGTGATGGAAAGCGGGAGAATAGGGCGGGGTGATGGAAAGCGGGAGAATGGGGCGGGGTGATGGAAAGCGGGAGAATGGGGCGGGGTGATGATCCCATCAACCCCAATGTGCCAACCAGAAAATGGGGCATGATCTCATTATGGTGACACGTCATGTGAATGTCAACTTACCTCCTCATAATGATCGTTTTTCCATCTCAACCTCTCAATAGGTGAGTTGGTCCAACCGGTCCATTGGACCAATAGGTCAGTTGGTCCAACCGTTCCATTGGACCAATAGGTGAGTTGGTCCAACCGGTTTATTGGATCAACAGGCCAGTTGGTCCAACCGGTCTATTGGACCAATAGGCCAGTTGGTCCAACCGGTCCATTGGACCAATTAGTGAGTTGGTCCAACCGGTCCATTGGACCAATAGGTCAGTTGGTCCAACCGGTCCATTGGATCAACAGGCCAGTTGGTCCAACCGGTCCATTGGACCAATAGGTCAGTTGGTCCAACCGGTCGGTTGGACCAATAGGCCAGTTGGTCCAACCGGTCCATTGGACCAATAGGTGAGTTGGTCCAACCGGTCCATTGGACCAATAGGTCAGTTGGTCCAACCGGTCCGTTGGACCAATAGGTCAGTTGGTCCAACCGGTCCATTGGACGAACAGGCCAGTTGGTCCAACCGGTCCGTTGGACCAATAGGTGAGTTGGTCCAACTGGTCCATTGGACCAATAGGTCAGTTGGTCCAACCGGTCGGTTGGACCAATAGGCTAGTTGGTCCAACCGGTCCATTGGACCAATAGTAGAGTTGGTCCAACCGGTCCATTGGACCAATAGGTCAGTTGGTCCAACCGGTCCGTTGGACCAATAAGTCAGTTGGTCCAACCGGTCCGTTGGACCAATAGGTGAGTTGGTCCAACCGGTCCGTTGGACCAATAGGTGAGTTGGTCCAACCGGTCCGTTGGACCAATAGGTGAGTTGGTCCAACCGGTCCGTTGGACCAATAGGTGAGTTGGTCCAACCGGTCCATTGGACCAATAGGTCGGTTGGTCCAACCGGTCCATTGGACCAATAGGTGAGTTGGTCCAACCGGTCCATTGGACCAATAGGTGAGTTGGTCCAACCGGTCCATTGGACCAATAGGTGAGTTGGTCCAACCGGTCCATTGGACCAATAGGTCAGTTGGTCCAACTGGTCCGTTGGACCAATAGGCCAGTTGGTCCAACCGGTCCATTGGACCAATAGGTGAGTTGGTCCAACCGGTCCATTGGACCAATAGGTCAGTTGGTCCAACCGGTCCATTGGACCAATAGGTCAGTTGGTCCAACCGGTCCATTGGACCAACAGGTCAGTTGGTCCAACCGGTCGGTTGGACCAATAGGCCAGTTGGTCCAACCGGTCCGTTGGACCAATAGGTGAGTTGGTCCAACTGGTCCATTGGACCAATAGGTCAGTTGGTCCAACCGGTCGGTTGGACCAATAGGCTAGTTGGTCCAACCGGTCCATTGGACCAATAGGTGAGTTGGTCCAACCGGTCCATTGGACCAATAGGCCAGTTGGTCCAACCGGTCCATTGGACCAATAGGTGAGTTGGTCCAACCGGTCCATTGGACCAATAGGTCAGTTGGTCCAACCGGTCCGTTGGACCAATAGGTGAGTTGGTCCAACCGGTCCATTGGACCAATAGGTGAGTTGGTCCAACCGGTCGGTTGGACCAATAGGTCAGTTGGTCCAACCGGTCCGCTGGACCGATAGGCCAGTTGGTCCAAGCGGTCCATTGGACCAATAGGTCGGTTGGTCCAACCGGTCCGTTGGACCAATAGGTGAGTTGGTCCAACCGGTCCATTGGACCAATAGGTGAGTTGGTCCAACCGGTCCATTGGACCAATAGGTCAGTTGGACTAACCGGTCGGTTGGACCAATAGGCCAGTTGGTCCAACCAGTCCACCGGACCAACAGGTGAGTTGGTCCAACCGGTCCATTGGACCAATAGGTCAGTTGGTCCAACTGGTCCGTTGGACCAACAGGCAAGTTGGTCCAACCGGTCCATTGGACCAATAGGTGAGTTGGTCCAACCGGTCCATTGGACCAATAGGTCAGTTGGTCCAACCGGTCGGTTGGACCAATAGGCCAGTTGGTCCAACCGGTCCATAGGACCAATAGGTGAGTTGGTCCAACCGGTCCATTGGACCAATAGGTCGGTTGGTCCAACCGGTCCATTGGACCAATAGGTGAGTTGGTCCAACCGGTCCATTGGACCAATAGGTCAGTTGGTCCAACCGGTCCATTGGAAAAATAGGTGAGTTGGTCCAACCGGTCCATTGGACCAATAGGTGAGTTGGTCCAACCGGTCCATTGGACCAACACGCCAGTTGGTCCAACCGGTCCATTGGACCAATAGGTGAGTTGGTCCAACCGGTCCATTGGACCAATAGGCCAGTTGGTCCAACCGGTCCATTGGACCAATAGGTGAGTTGGTCCAACCAGTCAATTGGACCAATAGGTGAGTTGGTCCAACCGGTCCGTTGGACCAATAGGCCAGTTGGTCCAACCGGTCCATTGGACCAATAGGTCAGTTGGTCCAACCGGTCCGTTGGACCAATAGGCCAGTTGGTCCAACCGGTCCATTGGACCAATAGGTCAGTTGGTCCAACCGGTCCGTTGGACCAATAGGTGAGTTGGTCCAACCGGTCCATTGGACCAATAGGTCAGTTGGTCCAACCGGTCGGTTGGACCAATAGGCCAGTTGGTCCAACCGGTCCATTGGACCAATAGGTGAGTTGGTCCAACCGGTCCATTGGACCAATAGGTCGGTTGGTCCAACCGGTCCATTGGACCAATAGGTGAGTTGGTCCAACCGGTCCATTGGACCAACACGCCAGTTGGTCCAACCGGTCCATTGGACCAATAGGTGAGTTTGCCCAACCGGTCCATTGGACCAATAGGCCAGTTGGTCCAACCGGTCCATTGGACCAATAGGTCAGTTGGTCCAACCGGTCCATTGGACCAATAGGTGAGTTGGTCCAACCGGTCCATTGGACCAATAGGTCGGTTGGTCCAACCGGTCCATTGGACCAATAGGTGAGTTGGTCCAACCGGTCCGTTGGACCAATAGGTGAGTTGGTCCAACTGGTCCATTGGACCAATAGGTCAGTTGGTCCAACCGGTCGGTTGGACCAATAGGCCAGTTGGTCCAACCGGTCCGTTGGACCAATAGGTGAGTTGGTCCAACCGGTCCATTGGACCAATAGGTCAGTTGGTCCAACCGGTCCGTTGGACCAATAGGTGAGTTGGTCCAACCGGTCCATTGGACCAATAGGTCAGTTGGTCCAACCGGTCCATTGGACCAATAGGTGAGTTGGTCCAACCGGTCCATTGGACCAATTGGTCGGTTGGTCCAACCGGTCCATTGGACCAATAGTGAGTTGGTCCAACCGGTCCATTGGACCAATAGGCCAGTTGGTCCAACCGGTCCATTGGACCAATAGGCCAGTTGGTCCAACCGGTCCATTGGACCAATAGGCGAGTTGGTCCAACCGGTCCATTGGACCAATAGGCGAGTTGGTCCAACCGGTCCATTGGACCAATAGGTGAGTTGGTCCAACCGGTCCATTGGACCAATAGGTCGGTTGGTCCAACCGGTCCATTGGACCAATAGGTGAGTTGGTCCGACCGGTCCATTGGACCAATAGGCCAGTTGGTCCGACCGGTCCATTGGACCAATAGGCCAGTTGGTCCAACCGGTCCATTGGACCAATAGGTCAGTTGGTCCGACCGGTCCATTGGACCAATAGGTGAGTTGGTCCGACCGGTCCATTGGACCATAGGTGAGTTGGTCCAACCGGTCCATTGGACCAATAGGTCAGTTGGTCCAACCGGTCCATTGGACCAATAGGTGAGTTGGTCCAACCGGTCCATTGGACCAATAGGTCAGTTGGTCCAACCGGTCCATTGGACCAATAGGTGAGTTGGTCCAACCGGTCCATTGGACCAATAGGTCAGTTGGTCCAACCGGTCCATTGGACCAATAGGTGAGTTGGTCCAACCGGTCCATTGGACCAATAGGTGAGTTGGTCCAACCGGTCCATTGGACCAATAGGTGAGTTGGTCCAACCGGTCGGTTGGACCAATAGGTCAGTTGGTCCAACCGGTCCATTGGACCAATAGGCGAGTTGGTCCAACCGGTCCATTGGACCAATAGGTCAGTTGGTCCAACCGGTCGGTTGGACCAATAGGCCAGTTGGTCCAACCGGTCCATTGGACCAATAGGTGAGTTGGTCCAACCGGTCCATTGGACCAATAGGTCGGTTGGTCCAACCGGTCCATTGGACCAATAGGTCGGTTGGTCCAACCGGTCCATTGGACCAATAGGTCGGTTGGTCCAACCGGTCCATTGGACCAATAGGCCAGTTGGTCCAACCGGTCCATAGGACCAATAGGTCAGTTGGACTACCGGTCGGTTGGACCAATAGGTCAGTTGGTCCAACAAGTCCGTAGGACCAACAAGCGAGTTGGTCCAACCGGTCCATTGGACCAATAGGTGAGTTGGTCCAACCGGTCCGTTGGACCAACAGGCCAGTTGGTCCAACCGGTCATTGGACCAATAGGTGAGTTGGTCCAACCGGTCCATTGGACCAATAGGTCAGTTGGTCCAACCGGTCGGTTGGACCAATAGGCCAGTTGGTCCAACCGGTCCATTGGACCAATAGGTGAGTTGGTCCAACCGGTCGGTTGGACCAATAGGTCGGTTGGTCCAACCGGTCCATTGGACCAATAGGTGAGTTGGTCCAACCGGTCCATTGGACCAATAGGTCAGTTGGTCCAACCGGTCCATTGGAAAAATAGGTGAGTTGGTCCAACCGGTCCATTGGACCAATAGGTGAGTTGGTCCAACCGGTCCATTGGACCAACACGCCAGTTGGTCCAACCGGTCCATTGGACCATAGGTGAGTTTGCCAACCGGTCCATTGGACCAATAGGCCAGTTGGTCCAACCGGTCCATTGGACCAATAGGTGAGTTGGTCCAACCGGTCCATTGGACCAATAGGTCAGTTGGTCCAACCGGTCCATTGGACCAATAGGCGAGTTGGTCCAACCAGTCAATTGGACCAATAGGTCAGTTGGTCCAACCGGTCCATTGGACC